AGCAAGATGTCTCCCTCTCACAGCCCCGTTACTACTTCTTTAAGAGGCTCCTCTGTCCTCCTCTCGCTACCTGTAGTAATGGCACCTGTTTGACCTTGTTATCAGTATAAAAGACACCTGTCCACAACTTCAAACAGTCACACTCAAAACTCCACTATGGCCAAGACCAAAGAGCTGCTGAAGGACACCAGAAACAAAATTGCAGACCTGCACCAGGCTGGGAAGACTGAGTCTGCAATAGGCAAGCAGCTTGGTGTGAAGAAATCAACTGTGGGAGCAATAATTAGAAAATGGAAGACATACAAGACCACTGATAATCTCAAGTTCTCCCACTTAAAAAGATGAGAGAGGCCTGTAATTTTCAAGTTCTCCCACTTAAAAAGATGAGAGAGGCCTGTAATTTTCAAGTTCTCCCACTTAAAAAGATGAGAGAGGCCTGTAATTTTCAAGTTCTCCCACTTAAAAAGATGAGAGAGGCCTGTAATTTTCAAGTTCTCCCACTTAAAAAGATGAGAGAGGCCTGTAATTTTCAAGTTCTCCCACTTAAAAAGATGAGAGAGGCCTGTAATTTTCAAGTTCTCCCACTTAAAAAGATGAGAGAGGCCTGTAATTTTCAAGTTCTCCCACTTAAAAAGATGAGAGAGGCCTGTAATTTTCAAGTTCTCCCACTTAAAAAGATGAGAGAGGCCTGTAATTTTCATCATAGGTATACCTCAACTATGAGAGACAAAATGGGGAAAAAAATCCAGAAAATCACATTGTCTGATTTTTAAAGAATTTATTTGCAAATCATGGTGGAAAATAAGTATTTGGAAATTACAGGCCTCTCTCATCTTTTTAAGTGGGAGAACTTGCACAATTGGTGGCTGACTAAATACTTTTTTGCCCCACTGTACAAGAGCAGGGGAAAATATTTATTCCAGCAAATGTAAGTTTAAAAAATTACAACATACTCTTCCACGGAGCTCGACAGCTTGCTCCATCTCCTTCCAAGCAAGTAATAGTTTCTCAGAAGCTGTAAAAGGGAACACAGCTATGGTTTTAAATTTGATTCTTTAAAAAAAAAGTCAACTGCCCCTTAATAAAATGATTATTTGAGCTTTTTCATTAGGGTACAATAAAACTTTAAATGTTGATACCTTGATGGGAAGTACATTGATTTAGGCAACCTGAAACTCTACTTCAGCTCATGCTATCATGTGCCATGCTAAACATTTGTACATGGGAAGATAGCTTGTATTTAGCAGAGCATCAAGCCAATAAAAATACCATTCAAAATGCACTGTAGGTTTTCCTCATGCTATATTTCTTTGGATAGAGAAAACCAATAGGTCAATGATAAAAATTCAATGAGTTTTTCCCCCAAAACTTGCCTTTTTTGCAAGAACAGGGAATCCAACCTATAATCCAGCCAGAAACTGCAGCTCATGATGCTTCTTGTTGCCTAATTTGGCCCTGAAATAAATCCGAACTAGGAAAAAAAACTCCAGCATCTCCTAACAACTGCTCATGTCTTATTAAAGAGAATAAAACTTACTGATCCCAAATTCAATTTGTTCATTGTATTTCTCCAAGTCAATCTGGATGCTAGTTTTGAAGAAGTCCAACTTTGCTTTCAGCTGCTGGGACAGAGAGGCCATAGTATTCTTCATCTTGGAAAGAGTGCTGTTGTGACGCAGCAGGTTCCGCCTGTCAAGCCATGGGGGAAAGAGAGTCACCCTCTACAGAGACTCAACAGACTCTGCCCTGCACTGGAGGTGGGAGACACCTTTTTTAAAATTAGGACAGACCATTTAAACTAAAACTAAGATGTAGTGCAGCAGGGCAACTCTCTTTTTTGTATCACTTTAATTTTGATTGAGTAAAAAACAAGATACAATACATACGTATAAATATATACATACCATTACAATCCCTATCTCATCTATTTTATTTTTTATATTTTATTTTTTGTTGTCTTTAATATTACTTTTGGTGATGCACAAACTTTACACTAAGGTGAAAGTTGAACTAAATATTCAGAAGGTATTTGAACAGAGCCTCTAGGCACAAGCATAAGCCAAATTGTTTAAGCAAATAAATGTAACTCATAGTAGCTCAAATTTTTAAGAAGACACAATTGATAAGGAATTTGGACTTCTGGGGATGGGGTCAGTTATTGGATATGCAGAGTTCAGAAAGACATACATTCTGACAACCTTTTTTTCTTACAAAGACCGCCATATTACATACATTGCTGCTCTTTGACCTTTCTGAAGCTGATTAAAGTCCTCATTCAGACTTCGGATTGCATGCCAGACCTGACCCCACACTTTGCGCAACTGGAAGAAGGCGAGGTTCCTTTTGGGATCCTGAACTGAGGAAGAAATATATATATAAGAAAAACAAGACAGAGGGATAGGAATTGGAAAACACAAAAACAATCGAAATTGATGAACATGCCAAATGCTAGCTCCTAGAAAAAGATCTTTGATATGTTTGGGGTTTTAGACTCTCCCGATTAGCTGGATATTATGTCAACTTCTATCTAATCAAAGTTTCAGTTGAGAGTATCTCTGCTAACACAGATGGTGCACGACTTGCCAACTGGCATACAGTTCAGTGCAGCAACTGGTATTGATACAGTTCAAGATCCTGAGAACCTCCAGTACCTTTCTGAAGCAAGCTGTTAACCACTGTGACTGCACAGACGAACTATGTGTCTGGGCAATGCTTGGAGAGTTCTCACAAACCTGTGCAAGAAAGCTTGAATATTTCTAACAGTCTGAGCAGGGTTCCATATCCAGGTATAATTCCCTGAACCTCATCATGATGAGCAAAAGCAAAATAAATCATGTCAAGTAAAGAATACTAGCATCTTAATATATTTAACTTGTAGGTGTTACAAAACCAACTTCTTCATGATGCAAAAGGAAACATCCTTCTTACTATGAAGATTACTTCTTTTACTGATTTGAGGACAACATGCAAGTAGCAGCACCCTATCCAAGTGTGAGAGGCTAGGATCATGTGACTGCCTTTGGCTCTTCCCATACCTTTTTAAACTGAAGCAGTTTATACATTTTATACATAATTAAAATGAAGTCTCAAGAGTTTGCTTTGGATCTAGGTTTGAGAAAGTGGAATCCCACTGGAGAAATAGATACTACAGGTAGTCTTTGCTATCCAACCACAATAGGGACCAGAATTTATATTGCTACACGATTTGGTCATTAAGCGTATTGGCATTGATTTTACTACCTTTTTATGACAGTTGTTAAGGGAATCACATGACCATTAAATGAATCCAGTTTCCCCAATGGACCTTTTTTTCTGGAATTCGCTTAACAACCACATGATTCACTTAATGACCATGTGATTCGCTTAGCAATCACAGTGATTTGCTTAACAACCGTTGTAAAAAAGGTCGCAATTTGTGATCACGTGACCATGGGGGTTGTAAAGCACTTTTCCCAAGGCTGTTGTAACTCCAAACCGTTAAACGAATGGTCATTAAGCAAGGACTACCTGTAGTGTTTAATTCTAAAGACAGCTTAAAATTGCACAAAGATTAAAGAGAATCTGAGAAACAGCCAAGCTAATTTGTACTATTTAAACAGAACTGAAACAACCACCACAGGTAAAAATATATTCTGGGAGGAGAGCTGATTTTTGGTATTCAAAAAATCAAAAGGAGTTCGGCAGCATCTTTTCAAACTAATAACATTTTTTAAAAGGCAGAACTTGTTAGTCTGAAAAAGTGCTACCAGATTCTGGTTTTTGGTTAAAAAAAAGAGATAAAAACGTTTGAAGCAGGTTCTGTATGCTATCCTCCCACAAGTGGCAACCTTTACCATAAAAACTAATGTCCCCTTCTCAGTTGTGGGAGAGCATATAGGAGGGGATATATAAAAGCACAGATAGCCCAGCTGAGTAGTGGTTGTTGGTTTCAGTTGAACAACTTTCCTACCTAAAGCCAAGACACATATGACTATCAGTTTGTAATGGCAGGTAAACACATTGACCAAAGACCAATTAGTTGCCTGTACATTTCTGATACTGGTGCATTTAGAGAAGAGAACATTGATGTGACAACTGAGCTGATGAAATGTGCTATTCTTCATAAAACCACTAGAATGCAACACGATTCATACAATAATACACACTAATTCAGCAGGAAATATAGAAAGACAACTAGAGGCACAAGTAAGGTAAGTACTGAGGAAAAGTACTCTATTCTTCTCTACAAAAAAGTTGCATTTGAACTAAGGTAGAAAACTCAACTGGTGAAGCTTCATGATGATGGCAAAGCTAAGGACTGCCATGTAGTCCCTTACCTCTTAAGCCTGACCCAAATGATCAAGTCTCTCTGTATGCAGTCCCAGACTAACATAGAATTTGGAATGTTATTCATTTAAAGAAAGAGCACAATTATATGTCTAACTATAAAAGCAGAAAAAACTCTTTACTGGAACTTCTCCTGCAAAAAATAAGAAAGTCTCTTCCCATCCCAGATTCTTACGAATGCAGTTTATGCTTTCTGGATGGGGCCGCGGAGAGATCTGAGACTCATAGGCTACTTTTCGGTCGTCAAACAGGAACAAAAGGCCAGTATCAGCAGCTGTGGCATCATTAAGCTGGAAGAAAAAAACCCTCTTCATTTCATTTGAACAATGACACTCTATATCACTGAAAGTTTTCCTGGCTGTATCCAAAATCCTGCCTTGAGAGTCAAGGAAGACCCAGACAAAGGTTCTTGATAATTTTCAAATATTTCCTATAGAGGAATCTCCCACAAGCTATTCCCCCCCACTTTAAAAGATCAGTACTGCCAAAGGCTTTTAATTAAAAGAAAGAATTTAATCCTTAAGAGCTGAAAATATGTCAGCATCAGCCATAGCTCACTGAGTGCCACTTAGTGAAAACATTACAGACTCACCTTTATATCAGCAAGGTACTGAACATCAAGCTTCTCTGGAAATAACACTAATCCTCCTTCTTGTAACAACTCTTGGTCCTGCTCTGGAATGCCAGTGTCTGCCTGGATCTTAGCCTTTATGGTCTGTAAAGTCTCTCCCTCTGTTAGAGGATACACGTGCATTGAACCTGTTACCATGTTTAAGATATGAACCAGCTGGAAAAAGAAATACTCATAAAGCAAGGGAAATGCAAAAAACAAAAAAGCAACACATATACTGTTACTAAAAGTTATTTCTCTATCTGTCAGTTAAGTCTCACATTACATACAATAAGTAGGAGTCAAAAACCTCATTTTTTAAAAACAAGAAAAACCTGGTTCAGTTAAATGAAAATAACCTTTTTCCTTGCTCTATTTTTTACCTGGCTAATATGTTAAACATATTTTTGCCATGTAATCCAACTCCATACTGTTTTATGACCACAAACAGTACCTGACTTTTTTCTTTTTAAAAAAAAATCTCCTCCCCCAATTGTAGATATTTGTGAACTACAATGCCCATAACCCCAAACCCTCTAAGTCTTGTAATCCAAATCACCTGGAGAGCATTATGTTGTATAACTCTGCATTATACTCCATCAGTGCTCAAAAAGCTATAATCAATCATTCCTATTTACAGAACAATATGGGGAAAATTCATAAAGTATATCAATAAGCTAGGATGCCCAACACAACACATTAAATCACCCAGACTTCCAACTGGTCTAGTGTGTACCGAAGTAACACATCTTCCTAAATGTCACTCTCCCTATTTCCTTCTCCTGAAGAGAACCTACCTTTACATTCAAGATATCATCCAAAGACTTGAAACAGCCATTGGTGCCATAGGTAGGATGAGTGCCTCTCTGCCGTGGGTGCCATTTAAGCATCAGCTGTAGCCATTTCTCCAGTCTATCAGCCAAAACACTACGAATACAAGCATGAAAGATAAAAGTGGGAAGGAGGACTATTGAAGAGGGTGAGGGGTACAGGAATTGAATTGATTCTTTGATCTATGTATAATTCCTTACCTATTTAGATTATTAGGATATGGCAATTTGCTAGAAAATTTCACTTCTCCAGACAAATCTTCATAAACAACAATATCCAGCTCACTCTTCTGTCGGACTTTTGCATGCCTAAGAAAACAAAGGGAAGTCTGTGCATGAGGGATTTTAGTCTTCTCTCCAGCATATGTCTGTTCCTTTAATAAAAACTAAGAAATTTATTGTGTCAACAGCTTTTATGAACTTGAATCTATTCTGTCAGATGCCAACAGTGTTCATTTCAGTGGATACATGCGTCTGCCACAAGCACTGTGATACTGATGTCCAAAGTCTATTATTTGATGATGATGATGATGATGATAATAATAATAGCAGCAGCAGCTTTGGCTGTAGTATCAAATCAGTGTAATATTATGAGGTTGAACTGTAAAGTATCTTATGACTTCCAACCCCAAATAAATTGTGGTTAATTTTAGCTATAATTAATTAAAACAAGCCAATATCAAATTATTGTTCATGAAATTGGCTCTTTTAAATTCCCCACAATTTATTATTTGAATTACCATCATTAATGCAAAACAAAGCTGAAGTTTCCAATCTCCTCTTCACAGCCCCATTACAGGAGGAGGGGAGAGGATGAGCAGGCTTAGGGGGTATTCTTGTAAATCAAACCATGGCTTAGTGCTAATGTGAATGCATCCATATCAAACACTACATTCTCTTGAATTCCAAGTAGAAAAACCAGCATTGCTTTGTGGTTGTGGCTTGATGAAGCTGCTTCTTACCTCCAACTGCTTATTCTAGCAGCAGTTTGTAAACTAAAAAATTATTATATAGCACACTACTTCTTATTGTCTAAATTAGAAACAGTATATATAACTATACCAACAATTCTTTAAGGTTGATTGAGTAGGCAGCATAAAAATGCTGGAAATAAATAACTAAGATAAACATACCATCAGAAACAAGAAACCTAGAGCACAATGCCACTGAAATTCACTAGGAGCCTTTGGGCCAGTCAGCACAACTACCTCACAGGATTTATTTATTTTATTCATTTATTTGCCTTAGAGGCCTCTCAACTCCATATGACTCTGGGCAGCTTACACTTTATGAGCAAGAACAATACAAATAAGACCCACAGACATCTGGAAGAGAAAGAAACCAAACAAGACAACCAAGAAATGTCCCACACGGGCTCAGCAGCAACCCTAAATTAAGGTATGGGAGAAGAGCTGGGTTTTCAAAGATTTCATTTATATTTACTTTTCCTGCAGGAGCTCAAGGAAGCACTCCTGCCTCCAATTTCTTTGCAGAACAACCAATCTGTGCAGTAGTTGTACTGAGAGGTAACAACCGAGCTGAGGTAATCCAAGGAGCAACTTTGACAAAGGGTGGATTTGAACCTGGTTCCAATCCAGCACTTTAACCATTATATCACACCACTGGCTCACTTATAATAACTTCTCCAAATCCGAGTTACAAAAACATGTCTGAGTTACCACTGTACTGGTTGCCAGTTGGGAAGGAAGGGTCGGAAACCAGTTATGCACTCAAAGGCCAGTGTACCAAAGCTCCAGTAATCCACCGTCACGGTGTATTTCTGTTGTTCCAGCAGCTCTGGAGCCTAAAACATTAAGAACACAAAGCAGACTACCAATCCAATCCCATACTTGCCTACACAGAAATAAAAAACATGGAGTTGAATAGGACTTATTTGCAGTTAGGGTACACTCCTCTATCCACTGAATCTTCTTTAAAAGAAAGAACTCTTAGTCAGAGCTCTTGTGATGGTCACTTCCTTCCCCTTCCCCCACAAAGCCACAGCCTTTTAAGAACAATGGATGGGTTAGGACTCACAAAAGGAAATAATTCTTGACACGTTGGTCATGGAATTTACTACTTTAAGCTACAGTGATGCTTATTATATTAGAATTAATTTGAAAAATGATAAGATAAATCCATAGAGGAAGAGGAAGTGTAGTTGGGAGAGTTCTGTTCATTTTATTAGCTATAATAGACAAACAAAATCATTATGGACCAGACAGTATACACTGAAAAATTAGACTGGTCCCTGTCAGGAAGAAGAACATTTATGTGTCACAGTTGAAATGCTTTCCCACAGTATCAGCCTGGCACCCTGTTCATCCCAACTTCAGTATGCTTCTTCTTTCTTCATATCTGAAATCCCATTATGCTTTTCTGAAAGCCCCATTACTTACTCTAAAAAAATGCTTACCAGATATTGCAAAGTCCCAACAAAGGATGTGCAAAGACTGCCTTGGTCCAGTTCTTTGGCATACCCCAAGTCAATGATCTTGTGTATTAACTAAAGAAAAACAGAACGATGACATGTGTGAGCGTGCTAAGAATGCTGGGAGAGAGAGATGTAACTGATTGTCTGGGTTCACTAAGGGGCTAAGCCCAAGTATGTTGGATTACTACTTAATGTTGTGTAAACTCAGCTAATATGGTTTGTAAACCATGTTTTATAGTTCAGAGGGTTGCATGGACTCAAACTATTGTAGATTATTCAATAAATCAGAGTTAATATATTGTGTAAATACCACTGTATGTTATTGTAAATTGCTTTGAGACTTCTTAATGGGAAATGGTATATAAATTATTTAAATCAATCACCCCCTGGAAAGACATGATAAATGCCCCTGAGAAGATCAGATTTGCCTAAAATCCTAACCCTTTCCTGCTGCAGAAGAAGGAAGGGGGCCACAGAAGTGATGTGTAGCACGACTGAGTTGGGAAAAAGATCCACAAGAACCAGCGTGCCCACTGAAGCTGAAAAGTCAGCTCTCCATCCAGCATATCTCCCAAAGACAGGATAGCCTTCTGTTACAGTAACCCACCATAAAGCACTATACACAATTCACAACACACTATGCAACAAGCCAAGAATGGAGCAATAGGGAAAGGGCTCCTAAACCATTTGGACATAACACAAAGAAAGCAGCCCCTAAGTTTTGTGTATGCCAGCCAGAGTCATGCGCAAGTGAGATGGGTGGCCATATAAATTAATTAATTAACTAAGCAAGCAAGCAAGCACACCCATCTCCAGACTCTGTTCCCTTCTTTTCTGACTAAATATGAGAGTTCGATCTCTGAGAATGGATGAAAGCCATCCCCAGCCCTCTCCCCATACGGTACACGTTTGACAAAAGGGAAGAGCAATGTCTACCTCCTGCACTTTATGAGGAATAAGGAAACATACCCTCTCTTCACCTTGTTGCAAGACGATGTTCTCTGGCTTCAGGTCTCTGTGAATGATCCTGTTCTCATGAAGGTAACGGAGGGCTGAAGCTAATATTGAGAGTATTATAATCAACCAAGTCTCTCATATTAAATACACACTGCATTATGTTTTCAGACAACCTGAAGCAGGTTCAGAAAAAGATCGATCAGGTTAATCAGAGGCATGGAAACTATGTCTTACATGGAAAGACTGAAGAAGCTAGGTATGCTTAGGTCTGAGAAAAGATGGCTCTGGAGGGGCATGATTCCAGCTGTGGGCTTGGACCCTAATAGTTACTAGTAGCAGGGTTTTCGCAACAGCAGCTACTCATTCACAAAACTTTCTCCTGGAGAAAGAAGTACAACTGGACCGCCTACTGTGGCTTCAGGTGATACTTTAAATGTGATTATTCAAAGAAATGTTGTGATTTTAAATGGATTTTTTGATGACATCGTTACATTGCTTCGTGGAGTTTTTAAACATCTTTTATAACGCATTTTACTTTCAGTGAGTGTTTTGTGCATTGCTCTGGACTTTCTTTGGGAAGATCATCATCATTATTCTTCAAGTGCCTGAAAGGCTATTGGCCAAGCTGGTTCTCTATTGACTAGAGTGCAGGATCAGATCTTAAGTGACAAAAAGACAGACAGTGATTGCATACATGGGGAAATGTCCTCAGAGAAACAGCAGTTCAGTGGAGGCAGCAACCTAATATGGTGACGGTCTTCTCTTTTCTGGATGTGTTCAAGCAGAGACCAGACAACCATTTGTCAGAGAGACCTTAATGGGGATTCCTGTGTCAAGTACTGAGTCATCTGAAAGGGCGAAGTGACCTCTCCTTACACTAGGATTCGATGATAGTGCAGAACAAAATCGAAGTGTGGAAATGTCAGGCAACAACAGTACAAGGCTCGGAGCAGCAAAAGCAGGGAAAGAACAGTTAAGTAGGGACCCTGAGCAGAATCTGTCCTCAGGGACTATGAGCAGTGTTATAACACTCTGAATGACTGCTGAGGCATATGGGTGTTAGTTAACTTCCTCGAGGTGCAAGAACATATTTTGATTTTCCTGCACAGAGTCTATGTTATTAATTTAAAAAATACTAACATGGCTTAGAATGAGCATTTTGCCTTTAAGAATAAACTGTAAAGGAAGAATGAAATCTGAAAAAAAAACCAGCTTTCAAATCCATTGAGTCAACTGTGCTGAATCAACAACATAAAAGTAACTGTAATAAACATTACAGTGCTCTTAAAGTATGTGGTTGCTTCCATAGGCTCATCTGGGAGACCTTTGCTGGAATATAGCCAAGCTCAGAACTGTTTCAGCCCCACTCTGCTATCTTCCACCCAATTCTTGAGATTCCTTACCTTCAGATTAGGCCCCCACAAATTACTTACCAATATCTGACAATAAAATAAGAATCTCTCTCTCACGTAGGCCACAGCAATTCTCAAACTGGTTCAGATGCTACGGATTACAAGGAAGGACAAGAAAATAACTTATCTTTATAGGAGTTTTAAATTTTGCACTATAGTTAAATAACTTTGCTTTATTTTTCATGAATCTATCACTTAGTTCTATAAGGGGAGATCTGCCAGCTAACAAGTGACACTTCCAGAAGTGAGTTTCAGAACCATATCAAGTCCCATAGTACATGCTCTTCTACACTGTACAGGTTCTCAAAGGAGGATATACTTTTGCTCTGCAATATCTAAAAACACGCGTCTTGAATGTAAAATAAGTACTGCATCCCAGAAAAGCGTGGGGTAGAAAACACTTTACAAAGCAGCATATCAGAGGGAGAGATTTTGATATCAGCAGCCTAGCATTTAGCAATGTGTATGGAACTGTGAGATAACATTAGAAGTAAGAATTGAGTGTCAAACAGAAGCCAAATTTTGCAACAACTGAAGTTTAATTCTGTCCTACTTTAATGAAGCAAATTTGGATTTCTCTTGACAACCGGAAATCATATTCCGTAACACTTTCTACAACCCTCCTTAGAGAGAGATGAAATGTTTTAAAAGAAGTTGCTCATCACACTTCCATCTCTAGTCACCAGGTTTTGCAGATTAGAACACTATTGTAAAGGTTTTTTTTCCATAAGGGAAGAAGTGTATAAAAGTCTCCACAGGAAAAGGTTCAAGAATTGTTTAGTTCACTCATCAGAGAGCTGAATCCTCCATGTTTCTGAGAGACAAGATAATTTAATAGTCTCCACAGAAATAAAATATTGAAACATTTTAGTTTTCTCTCAGAGAATTTACTTTTCCTTCCACTTCAGAGGAAGGAAAGGTCTGGCCCAATTAATCCGCTGACCTATACAGCCAGCTCAAGTTATACCAACATGAGATATACTGAATTTGATTACAGTCGGGGAGGAACACTATGGGTTGACCTCTATCATCAGATAGTTGGTCCAAAGCTGGCACACCTAATAATATTCCAGTTCTGGACTTTCCCGTTACTAACAGACAAGTAGAGGAGATGTTTCCCCCCCAGAATCTCATACTTCACTTACTGTCCCAGCCTGCGATGTTCTTTAATCCATGAATGGAGTTAATTCATGCCCGTCTGTTGCAACCACCTGGCCATGTTGGGGACTATGTTATGTGGGCCTATATTCTGGAAATCAGCCAGTCATGAAAATACTATATAGCTGACCGCTATGGAAATTATTTTTTGGACAGAGAAGCCAAATCTGTAGCCAGCTGTCCTAATGTCTCTTGGAAGAGTAACCCCAAGGAATCTAGAGACAGTGCAGGGTTGCCATTTCCTGCTTGCAGAAGGAACAGTGTGTTTGTAGTTACCACAAACTTCTCAATTTCATTTGTTTCTTCTTCTTTTTAATGTTTATTTTTCCATCCTGATTAAATCTTTTGTCTGAGTCATGTAAAAAGTGAACTAAAACTGAAGAAAGAAAAGAGTTCCAGGATGCCCTGCCCTTTGGAGCTAGGCAGGACCGGAACTGGGAAAGAGCTTTCCCAGATCCAGGAAAATGCATGCTGCTTTACTGAAGCCTTGCCTACCCAAACAGAAAGTAACACATTCTTTGATACCTACTTTCATTCTAAGAGATAGCCAGGAAAAAAAAAAAGGTCATATGCTTTGCACAATGATGGAACTGATTTTTAACTTCTTCGAACCATTGCCAGTTTTCAGGCTGAGACTTCATTAGGTGTGCCCTACATATCTTCATATATATCTTCTCAACTATAAAAATTAGAAAGGATGTTTTTTTAAATTAACTATTTCTGATTATATACTTTCCTTCTTGCAGAATCAAGCACACACATCCCTAGAAATCCTGCCTGGAACCACTGTGCTAGGAAGAAGCCAAAGCAGAACATGTCTACCTCTCTTTTTAACAAACCTAAATGAAATAGAGAGGGAAAAATAAGCACTCCAACTCTCTCAAGAACTTTAAAAACAGATTTTCCTATAGCAGATTTTCCATATGTAGACCTTGCAATAAAGTTTCCCCAAGAGGACAGTGGACCCAAACTTAGGTCACGCCACAAGTGTGCAAATGAATGGGGCAAGTTAGTAATAAGTAACTTAAGTCCCATTTATTTCAACAGGCCTATTCAAAGCATAACTAATTATGCCATCTTCAGTGTCAACTTTCAGTAACCACACAGATTTTCTCCATGACGATCTGTCAAACTGGTCCTCTGTGTCTTCCAATGGTGCACCCATCACCACTGTAACTGAGTCCATCCACCTTGGTGCTGGTCATCCTCTTCTTCTCTTTCCTTCCATCGTTCCCAGCATTAGAACCTTCTCCTGAGAGCTACATCTTTGTATACCATATAGGATAACTTGAGCCTGGTCATTTGCACCTCAAGTGAGAACTCTGGGTTGATTTGTTGGGTGATCCATTTGTTTGTTTTCTTGGCTGTCCACAGTAATCTCAGGAGTCTTCTCCAACACTAAAGTTCAAAACCATCAATATTCTTTTCATCTTGCTTCTTCAAAGTTCAACTTTCACTTCCATGCAGTGTCTAAGGATAAATTCACTCAACTTCATGATAACTGCCACATATTAAGCAACACATTGTTTCAGAAGAATGCAGCTTGTAGACCCATGCCAGAGTTTCAGCCAAAACCTTAACTACTCTGTGAAAGGTTCAAAGATACCCATAGCAACAGCTTGAGAAAACTGGATCATACTCCCAGTGTTTCCATTCCTTTCTGACATGCAACAGTGTAGGTGCCAAAAGACTCACCCTTCGAAGATCTCCTCCCTGGCAATATTCCATAGCCAGCAATGGCAAGTCATTGGGTGCGATATTTTGCATCCCTTCCGGAACATCCCGGGCAGCCACCACGTTGGGGTGATTTAGACTATGAGAAAGAAAAGGACGTACATAGAATACACAAAAGCTCAGGAAGATCTGGCACTTGACTTTAAAGCAATGACTTTAATGAAGGATTGCATGTTAAGTGGCTGACCCAGAATACTTGAATGCTGTAACTTTGCAAAGGATTCTGAGGCATATTCAAGAGCACACTCTTATCCTTTTAAGCCTCTGCTCATATCACTACCCTATGCAAGCAGCAGCTTTGTCCCAAATCCTTTCCTGTTATCATACACATTAAAGATAAGGTTTTAAGTACATTTCTAATTATGTTGTTTATTTACATATATCTTTAATAAAATTCAATATATATAAAACACGATTCTGCATATCATACATTGCAAGATTAAAATAATTTAACATGAATTACCAAGAAATGAATGAGCAATAATGCTGATATTGTTCATCCATGATTATGTGTAATATTACTTTAATTAAAGATACTGTCATTTTGAAAAAGAAATACTGCAGAATTAGTTATTAAATTCCACCACAAAAGAAGCAACATGGCAAGACCTCATACTGCACTTTATAGACAAGCTAAAAATAAGAGCAAGAGGAAGATTTTTTAACTCTCAAAGACAAGCATGAAGTGATCTTACCTAGAACAAACTGATACTCAGGATGAAGGCAACCCTCTAGTCACTTTTTCCACTAAATAAACATTGGAATTCACTTCAGAATGAACAGACACAGAATGAGACTGTATGCATTTCTATTTGGCATATGATTAATTTCTTGACCTATAAAATGTTCTGTTTTAGTATGCTCTTAATCTTTGTGATGATCCTCAGTTTGCTTGGTATTTTATGATCACCCAGTTTTCATGCAGAGACCTAACCAGCTTAAGATTCTCTCAGAAAAATTAAATTAGGCAAGCCTGGGTGTAATGCTATCCCCGTGACTGTTTCCGCTTTCATAAGCTCAGGGTCTTGAGGTTTGGGAATTACCAAGGTAGGACATATTTGGTTTAAGAAGAAACAAGTAGTTCTTTTTCAGCTAAAGTGACACACAAGGATGCTCCAGACTTTGGATCATGTCAGCAGTGCCACTTGGTATTTGGCACTGGCTAAATAAATAATTATGCAACCAAACAGGATTGTAATCTTCATGCTAAATGCACTCATCAAATGACTACTTCTCATAATATTTGTGGAAATTGAGTTTTCTGGTATTGCTCACCGTTTCATGATCTGTATTTCCAAACACCATCTTTCTCTGTTGCGTGGGCTCAACTCCTGACGACACTGTTTGATTGCAATTTGCTCCCCAGTTTCCTATAAAAGAAGGGGATTTTTTTTTGTCCTTCCTCTCCAATAATGCAAACAGTATAAAGACCTTTAAACTCTCAGCAACCGCAATAGGAGTGTTAAGCTGGCTTCATACTTCATATAAGCCATGGTCTGTTTTATTCATATTTATCTGTGAGATGGGCCACTATATAACTTTGATAAATATTAAATAAATATTAAATAAGCTACAATGGCCAGTTTACAGATAAATCTTGGTTAACATATCACAATATCACATCCCTACAAGCTACTTTATGGCTTAGCATGATGAGTGAACTCGGCCAGCGTGCTAGGTGGAGATCAAAGGAGGACCTTAAATCTGGGGAAGGTAGAATAGCCCCTTGATAAAATAATCAGTTTGATAATATTTCATGTTGTGACATAGCGGGTGGTGAGACAATACAGAGAGGAACATCAAGGAAGAATCCACTCATAGCAGGTGGGTTGCATCCGCAGGGGTGAAGGAACTAAAGGCAAGGATTGCAACTCAGTCCCAAAAAGGCAAGAGAATCAGGATGTTTTTGTTTTTCTCATCCCTCCTCTCCTCCCCTCCCCACCATCTGTCACTGGAGAGCCCCTTGTTAGGATCTGTGGAGATCCAGGAGACAGTCCCTCTTCCCCACCAATCTGTCATTAGCAGAGAAACAGATCATGAGGGAGGTGTAACCACATATTCCTTTCCTGCTGAAATCCCCAGATCCACTCTTGCTGTCACCCTGGCAATTCTCACATCGCCCTCCCTAGAGTAGAGAACAAAATTTCAGTGAGCCTTCTCCAACCTGACTATCGAGGACAACTGACAACAGCCCTATTGGCTGAGGATGATGGAGTTGTAGTGAACACCTCTGGAAAGTACCAAATTGAAGAAAGATGAGTCCACATGGCATGTAATTTGGCCAAGTCCATTTTGCTAAATGGTGCTTCCATTGCTCCTTTTCTTTTGCTTTAGACTTCACTTTCCCTTTCTCTCTTCCTGAATATTAGCTTCCATAGGCTTGAGTTCATATCATCAAATGTATGAAAAAAAAATCAAAGATAACATTTCACCAAGAGGACTGATTCCTGCAAGCTTCTACCACAATAATTTGTTTTACCTGGAGGAGTAATACCTTTAGGGTTTTTCAATGGCTTTGTGAAATCTAATCTTAGCTATGACCTGGGTTAATACAGTGGTACCTCTAGTTATGAACAAGTTACTCTAACCATTACCCTGATTCTATTCAC